TCAGAGATCACGTGATCAACATGTTGTTAATAATTCTTGGAGAGAAATAGCTCGCACTGTCAGAAAAGACGAGGACGCTGTAAAAAATGCTGGAATGCCATGTTGTAAACAACAGTAATTTTTACTTCTACTATGGTGTAGTGTTGGATGCATGCCATAGAGCTCCATGCTGCCCCCTACAGTTTGGGAGAATATTGGCTCACCGCAGAGACAAGCCGCATGAACCATAAACACTGCGAGTTGTGAAGCGCGTTCCATCCGCGAGCCGCATCACCAAGCGGAAAGTAAACGCGTCAAGCATAAACCAAGCATCACCCACCCAATCCCCCGCTCAGGCTGCTATAAGCTGAGAAGCTCTGATACGTGACATGGGCTCGGAGTAGAGCCACTGCTCAGCCAAAAGCAGCTCTCTCTAGCACCTGAGAGGTGCTTCTATTCTACTGTACTTTTAAAGAAGAGTCTCAAAAAGAAAAACACCCTTTAAAATCTCGGACAACAAAAGACGACTGGACCTGGAAGATGGTGACTGGTGTTTAGTGCTCTGTCGTTGTGGGTTATTGTTCCGGCGGACGTGGCTCAGGGATGACAGCCGACAGGAGGGTGGATGTTCATGTGACCATGACCATGTCTCCATTTAAAAGCTAGCTTGGTCTGTTGATTTGCTCTTGCCGTTTTAATTGAAAACTTTGTTTTCTGGGGGCGACGGTGGCACAGGAGTTAAGTGCTCGCCCCGTAATTGGAAGGTTGCTGGTTCGAGTCCCGCTCAGTCTGTCGCTGTCGTTGTGTCCTTGGGCAAGACACTTAACCCACGTTGCCTGCTGGTGGTGGTCGGAGGGACCGGTGGCGCCAGTGCTCGGCAGTCTCGCCTCTGTCAGTGCGCCCCAGGGCAGCTGTGGCTACATTGTAGCTCATCCCCACCAGTGTGTGAATGTGTGTGTGAATGGGTGAATGACTGATTGTGTTGTAAAGCGCCTTGGGGGGGTTTCATGTCTCTAGAAGGCGCTATATCAAATACAGGCCATTTGCCATCTACTGCCGTCAGCATAGACAAAGATTCTTTATTCTTCCTCATGAAGAGCCCCTTTGCTGGTTTTTAAAACACAAACTGTAAAGCATAAAAGCAGTTACAGAAAGCTGAATATTAAGTAATTGAAGCAACTGTTGCCACTAAAACCTTAAGGAGGTAAATCTAGAAAGAGGTTTCGGGCTCAATTATCCTGCTGGAAAATGATTTTTCGGAGTTCTGTTCTCTCAGGTTTGAGTTCGTCCGTCCTGTTTCTGAGACTGATCTATTGTTTTTTTCTGTTCCTTGAAGCTGTGGAAAAGACTAGATGGTTTCCACTGACTACAGACAGGAGTGGGACCATTTTTGTTTTTATTTATTATTTTGAATAAATCTGTAATTTATTTATAGGCTTTTGTGTAAACAGTGTAGCAGGTTTACATTTCAATACGTTTCTGTTTGTGCTTTTCTTGACAAATATTGGCTTTTATTTAAATAACTCAATTTTATTTGTTTATCCTTCCTTCATCTCTTAATGTGTGGGGCACTGAAAACCCATTTTTAAAAATTTGTTTCTGATTATAATCAGTCAATTTGAGTTTTTCATGCAGGCTGAACATGAAAATAGTCTCCTACACCCATCTGCCGCATTAGCTTCTGATGGAAAATAGTGAAAGTCTAGGATTTGGAAAATCCTGACAGATCTACGTCACAGTCACTTAACATTCATGGACTCACTTAACTTGACTCACTGCGAGGAAGGCTGTTGTTGGTTTAGCGTCCAGGAAACAGCAGGGAACGTCTAACTAGTAGAAGCTAACCGTTAGCGTTAGTAACACCACCACACAGTGGAGCTCCTCCAAGCTTGAACAATTTGTGGAGATAAAACATCCAAGTTGCAAGTCAGCGGTAGAGCTGTTAGCCAATCCAAGGTGAGATGTCTAAATATCAGAAATTAAGATTGAAGCTCAGACGGTTTTGGGTAACATATTGTGGTGACCCTGCCCACTGCCAGGCTGAGCAGCAGTGTGGCGCATTGTGGCAGTAGGTCACAGTTGTTTGTTCCATTTTCAATGTGTTCTGTACAGCTTTATTGTTCTGGGTTATGATAGTACTGTTTTACTGTTGTTTAGTGTTTTGTATGTGTTGCTGTCAGTTGGTATTACTTTCACACCGCAAGTTGGTGTTCCATGCTGGCAGATGGAGTGGGGAGCTGCTCAGTGTAAAAAATAAAGTGGTTGACCGCTAAGTTGACATCAGTGTCTGTGCTCATTGGCTGAAACTCCTTCTGGCAATCTACGCTACAATGTAGGTCTGAGAAATCCCCCCCGCAAATGTAATGTATTGATTAAAAAAGTTTCCCTCACCTTTAATGTTCCTGGTACCACCGTGCATTTAACTAGTTTTCACTGATGAACTCCCATCACTCACCATAAATGTTGCTGTTTAGTTTCTCAAATGAGGGATTTTATTTTCATTTTTCTGTCATAGCATCTTTAAAATCCACCACTGGAAATTTAAAGTTAAAGTTGCACAAAATGGAGATTATCGTGTGGAGCGGGATGAGCGGGGTGTTCTGTTCTATCAGCCAGTAGTCATAAAGCTGTTTACATCAGCACCAGTCATTTTCTGGAGTAATTCACTTAGCCACTTTGGAATGCTGAGCCTGTGTAGACCTAATGGTAAAAACGTTCTCAGCTAAACTTAATTTGTGGCTTAAATTAAATAGAAGAAACTTTAAGTGTTGAAGATTTTGGCCTCTGTGCTGAAACGTTGAACCTTCTCCCACCAGTCCTTCAACATGACCTTGCTCTGCAGTCGTCCTCATCGATGCATCAGCAGCTCAGAGTTTCGGGGCGTGTTTTTCACGTCTAGAGTTCCCATAAAGCAGCAGCACCCCGTCGCCCCTGCACCAAGCACACAATCAGCTGGTTATTCAGCGGCGTAAAGAAGCAGCGGATTAAGGAATCAGGGATCCTGAAAGGCTGCCACACAGCCCGCAGTTCTGGAGTTAAGCGGCCGTGAATGAGATGTGATTCCAAAACAAAGCTACTGTGTCACTGAGAGGGGAGCGCTGACGTCAGAAGGCCACTGGGGGGGTGAAACACCTCTGAGGGCTTCTTCTACATCATGGAGACAAATCAGCCACAACCATAGCCAAGTCTTTTCTCAGAGAAAACGCCATTTAGATTGTGTCTCAGAACCACATTTTGATCCATGTGAGGGTAAAATATAGGACCCGTCGGCTCATGGGTGGCCCCTGTTTGGCCAGCGGACACAGGCCTGCCGTCTCTCGTAGTGGTCTCCATGGGGATGAGCAGACTGTGGGGAGGTATCTGGCTTACTGGAAACGTGGTTTATTGTCGACTTTCAGGAATGAGGAGGGGGCTACAGCTCTGAGTTGAGGTGGAGGGGGTAATGGGTGAGGGCGAAGATGAGGGGGGACAGAGTACTCTGTAGTGATGGAGGACTGGACTGCAGACCGGTTCACCTTATGGGCGAGGATGGACTAGAACACCTGCAGGATGGAGAATATTTATTCTCCTCCGGCTTCATAGCTTTGTTTATGTAAATGGTAAATGGCCTGTATTTGATATAGTGCCTTCTAGAGTCCTGGAACCCCTCAAGGCGCTTTACAACACAATCAGTCATTCATCCATTCACACACACACATTCACACACTGATGGTGATGAGCTACGATGTAGCCCTGGGGCGCACTGACAGAGGCGAGGTTGCCGAGCACAGGCGCCACCGGTTCCTCCGACCACCACCAACAGGCAAGGTTAAGTGTCTTGCCCAAGGACACAACGACAGTGACAGACTGATTACGGGCCGAGCTCTTAACTCCTGTGCCACCGCCACCCCCAGGTAAAGTAGTAACGCCTCTCTGTGTGGATAAAAAACTAATCAGATATAACTGACCAACAGAGGTGCACATTTCTGGTGAATACTAAACACTTTTTTTGTGTCCCGTCTTCTTTAACTGGGTTTGAACAACGGCTTTGACAAAACAAACACACTCTGGAGCGATCGCTGACACACGGCTTACAAACACAATTTAAAAAGTGTAAAATGGGATTTCGTGATGATTGTGATTTTGATTGTGATTTTTATAACGTGTGCTTGTACTTGTACTTTTTTTAACAACAAGCAAAGAAATCTTCTGACATCTGTTTAAAAAGTAAATGTCGTGTTTTAGCGACCTCTAGTGACCAGAGCTGGACATGCATTGATCTGCAGATTTTACTTTGCTTTTATTAACTTGCAGAATTGTGAGCTACGTTACTTATAAATATATGATAAAGTGGTTGAGCTGTGATGATAATCTTTAAGTGACACAGAATGATTAACAATATACAAATATTATATAAAAATATGTTTGTGAGAAAGGTGATATGACTCAAATGCACTTAAAAATATTGACCAAAATTATAAATTATAATGATTAAAAATATTTCTTTTTTAAATTTGTCATTTTGAAATTCTTTATAACTTAAGGAAGAGACTGAGGAACGAGTGAAAAGAGTTTATTTAAAAAATCTAAAATGAAAACAGACAAAGGTGAAATGTAACGCTTTCATGATTACGTGGAAAAGCAAATATCTAAAGATAATAGTTCAGCTAGGTAAGTATGGATGATGAATGGATGAAATAGATGACATGAATACTTTAATTTATAGTCAATACATCATTCCCATTCATCGTTATTTTCGTTTTCTAAATTGGGTGTGAAGTATAGGCCAATTTAATTTTAAAAAAGATGTGAGATGAAACATTAATCTATTGTTTCTCTCACTTTTAATTGTGTAGTCGTGTGTCTGCAGAAGTAATTTATACTAGAGTAAATACTTTAAATTCAGAATGACCCGAACTCGTGATCAGAGGTCGTTTCCCCAATCAAGTTCACTAAGCTTTAATCTAGTTTGTAACACGTTCAGGAGTGTGATCTGAATTGTGTAAACATGAGTCAGCTGTTCTGATCAGCTGACCTTCAGCTCCGCTCAGTCACGTGACTCCTTCCGCTTCCTCCGTTCTGCAAGCCATGGTTTTCTTCTGCTCCCAGTAAAACCAGTTAACACCGTAAAATACCAGATTACTTGGTAGTCCTGCTGCAGAACATCTGACGGTCTGCTGGACCAAAATAGTTACCCAGCTGTTGAGCGTTTTAGGAATTTATGGATGAAAGTTCACCTCGTGCCAAAGTCAGAGCTGAATTCTGGATTTAAAGCACGCAGGTGTGGGTCGGAGGTTTTACCGGTTTCTCCGCGCATGACAGGTACGTAAATAGGGTCAGACCTGCAGAAACGCTTAAACTCTGTATTTAAATCAACTTTTCCTCAAACGAGCCTGAGACAGACGCGATGATTTCAGGAGATCTGATCAGGTTTCATTTTCCTACTGCGAAACTCAGGGTTCAAAGTCTGCATCTGCTGGTAAGATCAGATAACGCCCAGTGCTGCTGGCTGGGTTAATATCTTCAGTTTAAAACAAATGGAAATTAAACCAGACTTTTTCTGCAGCAAGAACTCCAAAAGAAGGAAGAAGTCCCTTTTGAACGAACTTCAGAATGGTTTCTGAGTTGTTCTGAGAAGAATCCTCTGCAAGAATATCTCCTTGTAGTGAAGATCTGAATTTTCATTCGTTCTGAATATGAATGTTGACCTCACAGGTGTGTGATAGATGGGCCTGACTTGGCACAAACTTCAGATAAAACCCCTTAATATGTAATGTTTAGGATTAGAGATGCATTAATGCATCATCAATGCCATGCACTATTTAGCATGATTGGTTTAATCTGTGATTGATTTATCTAAACTTCAAACTTTCCGGGTTATATGACTGGGAGGTTCCTTCTGCTTTCAGGCTGCATGCCTCAAATCAACCATCTTAAGGCCATTTGTTCTAAATCAAAATATGTCGGAGCTTGACAAGAATCACTCATCGATGTCGGCTAGACCTGATTTGTCATGTCTCCAGAGGTGTGGTTCACTGAAAAAACATTTTGAAAATCTTGTTTCTGATTATAATCAGTCACTCTAAGTTTTTCATGGAGGCTGAACAAGGAAATAGTCTCCTACACCTATCTCCTGCATTAGCTTCTGATAGAAAATAGACGGTGAAACTCTAGGATTAGAGAATCCTGACAGATATACGTCTCACTGTCGCTTAACATTCACGACCTCACCCATCTTGACTCATGACGAAGAAGGCTGTTTTTGGTTTAGCGTCCAGGAAACAGCAGAAAACATCTCAGCCAGTAGAAGCTAACTGTTAGCATTAGCAACTCCACCACATAGCAGAACTCCTCAAGGCTTGTGTTACTAGTAGACAAAACATCCATGTTGCAAGTCAGTGTAGAGTTGCAATGTTGTTATTTAATCCGTGGTGAGATGTCCAAATATCAGCTGTCTGAAGCTCAGCTGTGATGGCTCACTTGTAAATCCTGAAAATGGCGGACCGGTGCATTTTTCCCCCAGAGTATGACTTACAAGGCATTAATTCCTTCTTGGGACCACTGCAAATGTACCAATTAAACAAGTATCCCACACCTTTAAAATACCAACAGCAATACTATTTACAAAATCTCGAAATCTGCTTAAATATTTTATAAATGTTATTTAACACATTTAAAGTCAAATCAGTGTGTTTTATTGATTTGTCCCTAATATTATGTGTGCACAAGATAGAAGGAAACCTGCATTTTCCTCTTTTTTAAAGTTTGATATGTTTTTTGGGTATAAGTCTCTGATTTTCTGCGTTTAACTGTGATATTTTCCTAATTTAAGCAAACAGGCACAAAAATAACTGTTAAAAGTCCGCTTTCCAGAGGAATAATGTTTGTGAGCACAAGTCTGCTTGGTCACCGTTTAGACTACATTACCCATGATGCACCTCGGTATCTGTACTTCCCGTTGGGAACGTGTTTAGCGCAGTTCAGCACAGCTGAAAGGTGTTGGATGATCAGCGTTTTTCTCGTGCGTTCCTGTGTGAGTTACCCTTGGTGTGCGTGTTTATCATATTACCACACCCACATACTCCTGCACACTCACACTCTCTTTACCTGCATTCATAGATGGGAATGCAATTGCCTCACCACTAATGTTGTACAGCCTGTTGATGTCATCTGCTACCTCCTTAATAAACTACTTGGACTACATCACTGTGGAGTGCCAATCCTTCTGACCGAGGACAACTCACTTGAAGCGTGATCGGCAATCAGTGCAAACAACAATAACAATTTGAAGAATTTTTTATAGCAGTTCAGCGTGTGAACATATTGATTAGTTTGCACATACTGTGTGTTTATTGTAAATGTTAGGGCAGCAGTAGCTCAACAGGTTGAGTGGGTTGTCCAGTAATTGGAAGGTTGCAGGTTCAATCCCAGCTCCGGACAGAGAATTCTGCTGTTGTGTCCTTGGGCAAGACACTTAACCCACCTTGCCTGCTGGTGGTCTGTGCTCGACAGCCTTGTCTCTGTCAGTGCGCCCCAGGGCAGCCACAGCTACAATGTGTCATCAGAGTGTGAATGTGTGAGTGAATGGATGAATGATACACTGTAGTGTAAAGCACTTTGGAGTCCATACTCTGAAAGGTGCTATACAAGTGCGGGTCATTTATCATTTTCATTTATTCTTTTAGATGTTTTATATTTATGTGATAAATATGAAGCGTGTGTGTTTTGTTGTCAGAGACGAGCATCACATTTATTCTGCCGTCCAAAGGTGAGGGGAGTGTGTGAGCTGAGGTTTGTCTCCATCCTCTCGCTGAGTGAAGCCAACATGCCATCCAACAAATCTGTGTCTGATGCTCCCATCACTCAGTTCAACAACTGCAGAATACTGAGGGATCACACACTGCAGAGGTACACACACACACACACACACACACACACACACACACACACACACACACACACACACACACACACACGCCGTATGTGGAAAAATTAGCATGTTTGCTGTAGAACGTTTAAATGGACCCCCCCCCCCCCCTTGTCAGAAGTTTTGGGAAAACGAACTGAATTCTTACCAAAATATTACTTAAAGGGACTTTACGGACTTTTGAAATTTTATGCTCGTGATTGCCCCCTCAGGCCAAAAGTGTAACCGCAGCTTTAATAGTAGGCTCATGCACGAGGCGCGCATGCTGTACGTGCACACTCCTTAACGAAAATAACAGCTGAGACAGTCCTGTGTGTGTGTGTGTGTGTGTGTGTGTGTGTGTGTGTGTGTGTGTGTGTTACATAATCCATTTGATTATGTAAATTTGGTGGGATGAATATTTGTAGTCCGCTACGTCTTTTCACACAAAACCTAAAATAAATTTAGCCACCTGTCAAAAATAAGTGCTTTCTTAACATTAAAATGTGTCTTTAAAGTTTACGGACATCATAAATGAAATCCGTGGCACATATCAAATGTGATCAGAAAATAACTTTTAGCCGCTCATAGACTCCCATTCATTTTTTTGGCCAGACATGCGGACAGGAAGTAGATGGCCGTGACTAGGCTTCCTGTTCTGACATCTCCTGATTTGGGAACTCAAGCAGAATTGGTAGAGGCGTACTTTGAAGTGCTTAGAGAGGAGTGTGTCTCATTGGGGTTGTGTTTGTTTGTGCAGAGAGGACCTGTGGGTGCGAGAAGGGAAGATCTTAGACCCAGAGAAGCTGTTTTTTGATGAGCAGGGCTTTGCTGACAGGAGAGTGGACTGTGAAGGCAGCATCATCGCTCCAGGCTTCATAGACGTCCAGATCAATGGTAAAAGCACAACCTTTCATTTAATTGCATGTTCCAGTTGTGCTAGTTTACCTGTTGAATTAATTATAGATTCACTAAGAAAAAGACAATAAAGTTTATCTCATACTAAATAGAATATTTACTAAAAAATCACAATGTAGCCATAGAATTACTACTTGGTGTGTGTGTGTGTGTGTGTGTGTGTGTGTGTGTGTGTGTGTGTGTGTGTGTGTGTGTGTGTGTGTGTGTGTGTGTGTGTGTGTGTGTGTGTGTGTGTGTGTGTGTGTGTGTGTGTGTGTGTGTGTGTGTGTGTGTGTGTGTGTGTGTGTGTGTGTGTGTGTGCGTGCTCTGTCTTCTCCATCCCCAGTGAGTCGTGGAGGATGGCTGCTTACACTGAGCCAGGATCCTCTGGAGTTTTCTTCCTGTTAAAATGGAGTTTTCCTCTCCACTGTCACTGCATGCTTGCTTAGTATGAGGATTGCTGTAAATAATAATAATACATTTTATTTGAGGGTGCCTTTCTCAAACCCAAGGTCACCTTACAAAGATAAAAACAAAAAACAACAGAGGTTAGATAGGGCAATAAGAACAAACAAGATGCATAAAAATTTGAAACAATTCTAAAGTCTAGGTCTAAAGGGAATACACTTGTTTGAATAAGTGGGTTTTGAGGTGTGCCTCGAATAATGGAAAAGAGTCCGTATTTCTAATGGCATTTCTAATCAACGTTGTATTTGCGGGAAATGTAACCAAGGGGGAGCAAATAGATGATAAAGAAAAGAGGGCCTAGAACTGAGCCTTGGGGAACTCCTGCAGTAACCGGGGAAGAACTAGAAGAGTGAGACTGAAGTTGAATGAACTGAGTACGATCCGACATGTATGAGGTGAACCAGGCTAGGGATGTGTGACTAATGCCGATAGATGCTAATCTTTTGAGAAGTATGCTATGAGAAATGGTGTCAAATGCAGCACTTAGATCTAGTAAAACCAGAATGGAGAGATGGCCTGAGTCTGCTGCCATTAGTAGATCATTTGTGATTTTTACTAGTGCTGTCTCCGTGTTGTGTTGTGGTCTGAAACCAGATTGGAATTGTTCATATAGATTATGAGAATTGAGATATGAGTGAAGCTGAGAAGCAACAACTTTTTCAAGGATTTTGGAAATAAATGGTAATTTAGATATTGGACGAAGATTATCAAAGTTCTGTCACGATCTGCCCCTGCCTTCCTGACTGTGTTCCTCTCCTGCCCTGATTAGCCCTTATTGTTCTCACCTGCCCCTCGTTGACCTGCCCATGTGTTCCTGATTTCCCTGTATATTTATACCTCCCTCCTTGTGCCAGTCTTTGTCAGAACATTGTTGTTTGTCGTGTTGTTCTCGTTGTTCCTGCCGTATCTTGTCATTAAACCCATTTTTACTTTATCCGTGCCTGCATTCCTGCCTCCTGGAACTCTCCACCACACATGGTCCATCATCTCTACCATCACAACATGACAAGTTGGTGGGATCCACACCGGGCTTTTTGAGAATCAGAGTAATACAGGCAGTTTTTAATGCTGCAGGAGAAACTCCGGTACTGAGGGAAGAGTAAATGATGGTGGATATGAGAGGAACCAATGATGTAAGACAGGCTTTAAGTAGCACTGTGGGGAGAGGGTCAAGCAGACAGGTGAATGATTTGGGTTCCCTGATTAAATTTGATATCTCAGTTGCAGAGGGGAGACTGAAACTTGAGAATAAATGACTTGGAGTTGTAAGGATGGGTTCAACTTCTGAAACAGGATCTCTAGTAGCATGGAGTTGTTGGTGAATATTTGAGATTTTGGATGTGAAGAAGGACATGAGGGAGTTGCAATAGTCAGAAGAAACCATACTGTTAAGCAGTAAATAAGGAGGCTTTGTAATTGTGGAGAACAGAGAAAAAAGGGTCTTGGAGTTACCTTCACTCGAGCTGATTAAATTAGAATACTAAACCGATTTAGCTGTGTGAATGGAGTCTTTATAATGCAATAAGTGATTCTTATATAGATCTTTATGGATAGTGAGGCCGGTTTTCTTAGACAAATGTTCCAATCTGCGTCCTTCAGATTTAAGACAGCGAAGGTCGTAGCTAAACCAAGGTGCTGAGCGGTTAAATGAGACAGATCTTTGCTTAATTGGGGCAAAAGTATTGAGAATGTTATTTAGATTAAAATTATAGTTAAAAACAAGATCCTCAGGTGAGGTAATGCGTGCAGGCTGTAGATCAGATATTGCAGAGGAGAATGCATCAAGATTTATATTGATTTTTCTAAAAGCAATAATGCGAGGGATATGGGGTTTTAGAGGTCTTTATTATTAAACGTGATTAACTTATGATCTGAAAGAGGAAAAGAACTGGCTATGCATTGGGCCGGGGTAATACCCGAACAGCAGACCAGATCCAGAATATGGCCTTTGGAGTGAGTGGGGAAGCTGATATGCTGTTTGAGTCCAAAACTATCTAAACAGGAAGTAAAGTCTCTGGTAAGATTGTTTTCATCCATGTGAATGTTAAAGTCACCAGTGATTATCAGATTGGGAGAGAGTATGGAAAGGTGAGTGAGGAGAGCAGTAAAGTCATTTAAGAAGTCCTTATTCGGCTTAGGTGGGCGGTAGACGGTACATATGATGGTAGGAGTGGATCCAGGGAGTTGTAATGCACTGTATTCAAATGAGTGGAAGGATGGAGCAGAGACTGGAGAGACTTTCCACTGCTTCCGGTGAATTATCGCGAGACCTCCACCCCTCCCTGACTCCCGCGGTTTACAGATGTAAACAAACTCAGGCGGAGTGGAGTTATTAAGTGAAATAAAGTCATTTTTAGGGTGTTGCCGAGTTTCATTCAAGCAGAGAAAGTCAGGTTTATGGTCAGTAAGGAGATCGTGGACGCAAACTTAAAGTAAAGACTCTCAGTAGTCAGTGACTCTGTGCAACCTGCTGGGTTCCTCATATAAGAAACTTTTTAACCCTCCCACTGTCCTAATGGGTGTGACCCCGCCAGGAAAGTTGACCATTGAGCAGGGTTGATGGTTTATCCCTTGAGGTCCACGTGGCAGGGGTGAGGTGGTGATCACTCCTCACCCCTGCCACGTGGACCCAAGGGATAAACCATCAACCCTGCTCAATGGTCAACTTTCCTGGCGGGGTCACACCCATTAGGACAGTGGGAGGGTTAAACAGAGGAAGAGTCTGACAGGCCAGGCTACCTTGAGACGACTCTTGTCAGTAGCGGTTTTAGGCACGGGCAGACAGGGCAGTTGCCCGGGGTGGCATTTTTTCATGACACAAAAGGGGCGCACAAGCGCGGAGTAAAAAAAAAAAAAAAACAGGAAATCTGCGCCGCACCGAGGTTTTCTATTATCTGTCATATGACAGTGTCTGGATTGGAAACAGCAAGTTGGCGCCCCCTGCAGCTGCAGGCGCTGAACGTTCACGTGCTCCGTGTGTCTATGAAGAACAGGAAGGGGAGGGGTGCGGCGGGGGAATTCACCTCTGCGTCTTTCCCAAATAAATGAGCGGGTAGGGGCTGAATCAACTGTATTAAGATGGCTAAAGTCAATCACATCTTAACGTTCTTCCATATTTCATTCATAATATCATAAACACAGGCCTATCATTATTTCAGGTTTCTCTGAATTGTGTGAAATGGCCGAATAAAAAAAGGAAAAACAAAATGATTTTGTGGTCACCCCCCCATCAAGGTCAAATTGTTTAGTCCTGACTAAAGGAAACTTATTGAGTCAAGAGCCAAACAGAAGAGATGAACATAAAAAAGCTAAAACCACCAGGTGCCCCATTCAGGGGGAAAAAAAGAAAAAAGAGGAGAAAGATAAAGGTATGTAGCTCTCATGATGCATGTTTTCAATTATTTGAACCAGTTAACTGGGATTTTAACGGTTAAATGCGGTCAACTAATTGCTAACAGAGCTAATAAGGCTGAAATATTGAAACGAATATTCAAATGGTTTGAAAAAAGTCCTTGAATCGTTTTTTACTGATTCAAACTAGGATTTGTTAAATGCTCACTGCAGCCCGTGGCCTGCCTGAACAACAACAAACACATGTTGATCATGTTCACATAATAATAAATAAAACAATTCTACAAGCTGAAGAAAACACCCCAGTCACCACTAACTATCCTGTTTATTTATTGCAGATGGCTGCACTGATTATTTTTTACATGATTTGTTCTGTAAAAGTTGGCATTTTTGGTAATCTACAGTTTTTTATGTCAGTTTAAATTACAATTTCAGAGGCAATTCTAAAATATTATGGATCATGAGCTCTATTGGAGATCTACCCCAACTTTTGGACTGCTCTGCCAGTCACTGTGGCTCAAGCTGAGAGGAGCTTTTCAAAACTTGATCAAGTCATGCCTGAGGTCACCTATGTTTCAGGGGCGGCTCACTAACCTGGCTCTGATTAGTATCAATCACTCAGTAGGGGAGCAGATTTCATGTGATGACATTATTGATGATGTTGCATCAAGGTTAGGTTTTAATTTTAGTTTGTGTTTTCTATTCTAAGTGCAATGCTGTAGTGATTATCTTTAGTTTGTTATGTGTGAAATATTTTTGCTATTTAGAATATTTATTATCTATTATGTTCATATAGTCTTAATATTTAGTTATTGTTTGTTTTTGTATAGTTGATTCTATATATTTTGATACAGTATATAATGTATAGTGATTTACATTCTGACAACTTCATAGTAATTAATGTAAATATGTGCAACTTAGAAAAATGAATGTTCAATAGTTGTTCTAATAAAACATGCCTGTTTGTAGAAAACATGCGTGTGTTCATGCAGGTGGGGTGGTGGTGGTGGTGGTGGTGGTGGTGGTGGTGGGGGGGGGGTTGGGGGGGGGGGGCGCTCAAAGGGGGCCTCGCCCGGGGAGTAATTCGATGTAGAACCGCCACTGACTCTTGTTGTGATTTGGCGCTTGTAATGCAGCAAGTCCAATACACAGGCTTTTTCTATAATTGTAGGATAAATGAAACCAGGCTCAATAATTGTTTTAATGTTTATTTGGAAGGGGTGAAGCGTTTGGACCTGTAAGAAGAAGAGTTGGTATGAATATTGAGGATTTAAAGTGCTAAATGATTGAATGTTTGTACTTACCTGTTTCCAGCCCCAGGGCTATATAACTGAATTGATGTTACATTATATACATATTTTAACAAATGACCATATTTTCCCATAGATAAAATACATAAAGTAGCATTAAAATAGTTAATCATGAAATATTTATATCAAACAAGATTTAGTCATGCTTTTTACGTCTCAATCTCTTGTTGTTTTTGGAGAATGATTTTAAAATACTTTGATGTCCAGTAATCTCATCTGATTAATGTATAAAATGTTTGTTTTCTCCCAGAATTTAATTTTGAGTTTAATTTAAAAAATAAAAGTAGAATTTACCTGCAGAGCGTCTATATTTTAGAGATCCACCCGATCCGGTCTGCGTGTCGGTTCTGAGGGGTGGACGTTGATTTTCATATAGAGCTTCTGCCTACAGGAGGATATGGCGTAGACTTCTCTCAGCCTTCTGAGGACGTCTCAGCTGGAGTTTCCCTTGTGGCCAAGAAGATCCTGGAGCACGGCGTGACGTCCTTCTGCCCCACTCTGGTCACCTCTCCTCCTGCTGTCTACCACAAGGTGGCGCTACTCTGCACAAACATATTGAGTCTTTTAAATTGTGAGAAGGGATGAAATCTATAACACAGTTTTTTCAGGTTCTTCCTCAGATCAAAGTACAAAATGGAGGACGACACGGAGCTGGAGTTCTGGGTAAGATCAGTGTTGGAGGTGTGTGTTAGTGAGTCAGCCATCACTTTAAAGGGACTGTATGGAAGTTTGAAGTTTTTATGCTCGCGATCGCCACTCAGGCCTAACGCGTAACTGCACCTTCAATAGTAGGCTCGTGCTGTACGTGCACACTCCTTAACGAAAATAACAGCTGAGACAGTTGTGTGTGTGTGTGTGTGTGTGTGTGTGTGTGTGTGTGTGGCCCGGAGGACAGAGGACAGAAGAACGCGCAGCTAATTAATTAAATAATTTGGTTCTGTACCTTTCTCTTCAGCACAGCCAACAAAGGTTTATGATGGGTCAGTCCTCCTGCATGCTCAGATCATTCCCTTTCCTTGCTTGAAAAATTGTTCCAAAATGAAAGTTGAACCCACATCTTTTTTATATGTGAATTCAATGCCGTTCGGCGAGTCTCAAATAAAAATTTTGGCATCTTACTGTAAAAAAATATACCATTAATGTAAAAAAGAAACTCTAAAAGAACTATGATCACACCCAGGATCGATCCCAGGTCTTCTGCATGGGAGTCAGACATCTTACTAGGTGAGCTACACTCTAGTAACAATCACAGCATCTGTAACATTTATATCCTTGATGACAGCTGAAACAACGTCAAACCAAAGAACGGTTCGGAGCGAAAATGGCTATTTTGTTGCCAATTTGCAGGAAATATCTAGAAGAAAGTTCTACAGAAAGTAGCTAAGGGTCCTCAGAAATGTAGCTAGCTTTGTTACTAGGCGTTAGGAACAGCGACAAAGCGGCACTGCCTCTCTCTCTGCTGCTAAAGCTACGGATAGCAAATGCTACGGGCTATGCCTGAGCGTGAACGCGCATGAAGCAGCCTGCTCGACCCGAGCATCTCTCTTTTTCTGTGATTTTACAGAAAAACAGGCAATCACAGTAAAAGTAAAAGCTCTTAATAATCAAGGACCATCAATACATTAGGAATCTGATTGTTCCATATGTTCCTAACCGAGCACTTCGCTCTCAGACTGCAGGTCTACTGGTGGTTCAAAGAATATCTAAAATTAGGATGTGAGGCAGATCTTTTAGTTATCAGGCTCCTCTCCTGTGGAACCAGCTCCCAGCCTTAGTCCGTGAGGCAGACACTTTGTCTACTTTTAAGAATAGGCTTAAAATATTTTTATTTGATAAGGCCTATGGTTAAAATCTGATGTTAGCCTAAATCTGGACAAGTGGGGGAGTAGAGGGAGGTGGAGTGTACAGTCGGTAAAGACGGCTCTCCCTTGCCCTGCCTCCAACATGCCTACATCTTAATAGGATAGATTATCCAGAGTTATCTCTGTAGTTATGCTGCTATAGGCTTAGACTGCTGGAGGATACACTGACCACTTCTCACACTCTACTGCTTTCTTCTACAGTCTGCTCTTTAACTGTATTATTTTGTCCAATTTCAGCTGTTAACTTTATTTTCTCTGTGAGTGTTTTTCTCCCCAGAAGAAGCGACAATGACGTTCTGCTGAGCTGTGGTGGCCTCATGGAGGGGGCAATTGACTAGCACGCTGCTGCTAACCACTTAAACATTCTCTCTCTCCTGATAATAACTTTTTGGTTTCCTTGACTTTTGATGTGCTACTACTAGTTTATCCGTTTAATTATAGATCCACTAGGATAAATACAATAAAGTTTATCTTTCACCAAATAGAATATTTACTAAGACATCACAATATAACTATAGAGACATTACTTGTCTGTGTGTGTGTGTGTGTGTGTGTGTGTGTGTGTGTGTGTGTGTGTGTGTGTGTGTGTGTGTGTGTGTGTGTGTGTGTGTGTGTGTGTGTGTGTGTGTGTGTGTGTGTGTGTGTGTGTGTGTGTGTGTGTGTGTGTGTGTGTGTGTGTGCGTGCGTGCGTGCGTGTGCATGTGTCTGCTCTGTCTTCTCGATCCCCAGTGAGTCGTGGAGGATGACTGCTTATACTGAGCCAGGATTCTCTGGAGGTTTCTTCCTGTTAAAAGGGAGTTTTCCTCTCCACTGTCGCTTTATGCTTGCTTAGTATGAGGATTGCTTTATAGTCACTGACACTAGTCAGTGACTTGATGCAATTTGCTGGGTTCCTTATATAGGAAAAATTATTTCTGATTGGCTTAATGAACTGACCTGAATTGGAATTTTTATTATGTGAAGTGCCTTGAGACGACTCTTGTCGTGATTTGGCGCTTTATAAATAAACTTGAATTGAATTGAATTGAATTAAAAATGCCAGGGCTCATTCTACAGGACCAGGGCATTGCAGGAGAATGTATGAAGAAGACATTTATTATTTCTATACATGTTTTGGCTGTCACACTTCCATAATGCCCCTTTAAATAACACACTAACAGGTGCTGCAGAATTTTCTTTATCTCAAACAACATGTTGAAGGTGAGACTCGTGTTTTTGTTTCTGTTTACGTGATTAAATTATAAAAGTGCAGATTCCAGAAATCGATGTTATATTTCAGCTTGGAGACACTTTTTATGTCAGCTTGGGGGCACTGAGCTCCTGAGTGAGTTAAATTTGAATAAGAAAGAGTCTTAACAACAGATGGAAACAAATGTAAAATCACATCACAGCTGTTTGGAATTAGTGTGGGACTGAGGGACGTGTGTGTGATTCTGCCACATGTCACCAAGGAGAACTTTAACCCAGGAAGAAGAAGATTGCTGATGAAGAAGAAACTAAAAGGATCTTTTATTATAAGGAAACCCAAAACCCTGTGGAGCGAGGTGACTCGACACAGAAGTGAGAAAAGTAAAACTGAGCATTTTGTGTTTTCTGTGCAGGTTTCCACCTGGAGGGTCCGTTCATTAGTGCGGAGAAGAAAGGAGCCCACCCGCAGCAGTACCTACGTACGTTCCAGTCCGGAGGGCTCAGGGACCTGATGGAAGCCTATGGCAGCCTGAACAATGTTGCCATGGTTACACTGGCTCCTGAGCTGGCCTACAGCCAATCAGTGGTCAGGGAGCTCTGCCAGAGGGGAATCACTGTGTCATTAGGTGATTTTAAACCTTCCTTCTTTTGTTTCGTGTCTGTATAAAATGATTGTTGTTGCATTCTTGTTTTGATTGCTTCCCTCTCAAATATACACATCGTTCTCTTGTTGAAATGACTTCATGATAAATGAATAACTGCTGTTCAGGTCATTCAGTGGCCAACCTGTCTCAGGCTGAGGAAGCTGTTCAGCACGGAGCCTCCTTCATCACTCATCTGTTCAACGCCATGCTGCCCGTGAGTCCCACCTGCTCCTCAAAAACACACTTTAATTCAGCCTAAACACCTGAGTAGAAACCTGCCGCTGAGTTAAAGTACTTGCACAACAGAAACTTCAGCTCTGCGTTGTTTATTTATATTAAAGCCATAATATTACTTTTTCATATTTTAAAATCCTTTTGTTAAGCCAGTATGTGCTAAATTGACCCTTTACAGGGTTAACGAAATGTCATTCAAAACTCCACCTCCCCCTGTGGCCAAAATACCGCATTTGCTACTTTAGAGTGCCAGTCCGGTCTGTTGGACTTAGATAAAAAAATGGAGCTGACATAGCTGGCGCTACGGTCTGCTTCCAGCATGTTTCCGGCTTGTTTTAGATCATGAACACAGCTGATGGTTTAATTTAGTGATTAATCATTCCCGTAGAAACCAATAAAGACTGGGAAGACATTACAGCTGTTATATTAAGGTGTTAAAAAGACAAACAGTGAGGAGGAAAGTTTCACTGTTAGTTCTACTAAACAGACACTAGGGGGTGTTAAAAGTAAGCAAAACTGCCATAAATGTAATCAAGGTACAGTAACAGAGACCATCCTCCTCTCTGGCCCAGTTCCACCATCGTGACCCGGGGATTGTGGGTCTCCTGACCAGCGATCAGATACCTGCAGGCAGGACAGTGTATTATGGGATGATCGCTGATGGGATCCACACCAACCCAGCTGCCCTGCGGATTGCTCACAGAGCTCATCCATCAGGTGAGTCAATGTCTGCCAAACATCAGACAGATCAGTTGTTTGCATTTCTTTCTATCATAATTTAAACTTTAGTCTTTTCTGAAGCGTGGATTTGATCATCTGTCACCAGTGTTGGGAGTAACGCAGTACAAAAGTAATTAATGACTGTACTGCATTGCTTTTTGCTGTAATGTGGTAATGTAAGGCATTACAGGGAAAGAAAATGGTAATATTTACTTGGTACAATTGTCAGTAACACGGTAATTACAATGCATTTTTAAACCCAGAATCAAGATGTGGGTTTCCTAAAAATTCAAATTGCGGGAAGCCTGAAAAAAGATCCAGTATCCACATATATGACGTCATTTATGGACTCAGCTTTGCAGGCGTTCTATGAGCAGAGAGGACGCAGTGGTGATGGCTCAAATACTTGTCCTGCGCGCGGCCGCTGTTGCATTCACAAAATCGCTCCACCAAAACAAAGTCATTCGTTTGCGATCGTTTATATCAGCCCATATTCTCTGGTACTTCGTGTACTTTTCAGCTGAGTTCATAATCTGTGCCCCGGTGATTTCAACTCATTGCTGCTGGAGCGCAGTGCATATTAAACTTTTTTATTTGCGTTCGGTAGATCCCTTTGGCTGATTAGTTAGAAAGTAGAAAATCTAGTTTACAGTTTTTCGGAAGACGGAGAAAACATGCAGCATGCAGGAAGGTTAGAGAGAGAAAGGGCAGGAAATTATTCAAATAAAATCAAGAAAACAAAACGGTGACCAGTGAAAAGCAATAATATACATAAGCATTTAATATTTATACATGTGATAGAATCAGATCACCCCAGAAGTCAGTCCCACATCCAGGGCCGTATCAAGGCATTTGGGGACCAAGGCAAATATAGGCTTGGAGCCTCCACCACCTCACTCCCTGCTCAGTTAATATAAGATGGCAGCGTGCTGAGAGTACAGATTGTTGTTGCTTTTATTTAATAAACAATCATTTTAAAGCACTGTTATTATATCTGACTGTTTTTAACAGCAATCCTAGCTCAGACACCAGATCACCTTCCACATATATGTCATGAGCTCACTGAGCGTCACATGACCAGATTCATACTGAAGTTGTATCGGTGAAAGTAACTTAAAGTAATGCAAAAGTAGTGTAATGCCTTACATTTTAAAATCAGTAATGTTGTAATGTAATGAATGACTTTAAAATGAGGGTAACAAGTAATAAATACTTGCCCAACACTGTCTGTCACTAAATCAAAAATATACAATGAAAGAATGACTCATTGAAAGTGATAATTCGTGCATGTAGTTAGTATAAAAGTGTTTAAACAGTAGTGATGTCAGCAGTGTGTGTGTGTGTGTGTGTTTTTGCCAGGTTTGGTTCTGGTGACAGACGCGATCACAGCGATGGGTCTTCCTCCAGGTCATCACACTTTAGGCCAGCAGGTCATCGAGATCCAGGGTCTCCATGCCTACGTGGCAGGTCATGCTTCTCTTTCTACCGCATCTCATTAACTTTACCTGTAACCATAGCGATGTCATGGACCTTTTAGACTGTGTCCCTGTGGGAAGATCTGTCCCACACAGACTGTTGGTTATGAGCAGATGTAGATTTTAGTGTTGTCCTGATGCAGATCACCATGGAGGCTATATTGTTTCTTTATGAATAAATAAAAAAAGTACTTCAAACTTAACTCATTCGCTGTCAGTGTTTCTCACCATTTTTACTGTTTTTTTTTAAGAGTCACAGAACGTTGCGCGCTAGGATGATGTCGATGCCAAAACAACCAAAACAAAGCAGAGACTCACCTCTTACATCAGGAAGAATCTGCTCGTTTCAAGCGTTATCCGTTCTTTCATAATCCGTTGTTGAATTGTGATCGGCAGAAACTTTTCCGGTTCGCTCCTCACTTTTTTTACAGCAGCGGCCCAAAATGATCTCCTAACACATGGATGTTCTGCTTCCTGATCACGTGACTTGTGACGTATACGGATGAAGATCGGCTTTAGAGCTGAGATGTTTGTTCTCACGGTGCCGGGGGCTCGTTCCGATGCCCACACAGTAAAATAATGCAAATGACGACTTTAGTCGTCATTGGCAGTGAATGAGTTAAAAACAAAAATTTTGAACCGCACTTAGAAAATTTGCAAACAAAATATTTTTACAACCCCCCATCTTAACTGTAAAACTTGGATTTGTCTATTGAAGGTTGAATTAAGTAAAAGTCAAATCATAACATGTTTTTCTTGTTTGCGTCAAAAAGTTTTACTTTCTGAAAAAAATTCCATTTAGAAAATTGGAAATGTTGTTTGTGTACCTCCATTTTTTTTGCTCTCAAAACTGTTTGTTATGTTGGAGGTGAAAACTATAAGTTATGTTGTGGGTGGTGAAAGACCTCTTCATTGGCTGGTGTCACGAAGGTGACTCCTTGCTTTTATATTTTGACTGGAACAAAAATAGAAATGACTTGATTTTTAGTTCAGCCTTTTGAGGACAAATAAAGGTTTTAGAGGTAAGTTTAGGGTTTAAAAACTATTTTTGTTTGCGGTTTCAACTCAGATTTTTGTAGTGAGGACTGTTTTTGATTGAGAGATGCTGACCTAGTCTGTCGATGTTTCAGGCACGAAGACGCTCAGCGGCAGCATCGCCACCATGGACATGTGTGTTCGCCACTTCAAACAGGCCTCCGGTCAGTTGGTCTCTAATGGTCGGTACAGTAGAGCCCTGCACTGAAGCCCTAGGCCCTCGGGTCGGCTCGGGCCGGGCTTCGGGCCAGCGACTGTGTAATCACCTCGGACACGGGCCAGGCGCCTTTATTTTTAATCGAATTCATAAAAAAAATTGAAACACAAACGCAGCAGTAGAGCCCTGCGCGGGACTGTTTTCTTCATCCCGCTCCTGCCCGCTCCTGCTGAATTTCTGACCATTACCGCCTGCAACTGCAACGTTAAACTCCCGCCCGCACCCGTAGCGTGCATGTCTACTCCCGCCCGCAACCGCAAAACTCGGAGAAATTATTATCTCACAATAAAAGAGACATATTGAGTTTGCGTCCTCTCTGGTCCTGGAGAAAACATGTCACAACCCGCGGCTCTTCCATCCATCTGATGCGGCTCTCTGTGCTTGTAAAATAATGAATGGATATTTAAATAAAATGCTTTATATTTTACTGAATTAATTTTATATCTGTAAGTCAATTCTATGTAAAGATTGTCTGCGTAAACCTGAACGGGTCCAACCCGGTCTTACTGTGAGACCGGGTTGACGGGTCACGCTAGTGCGTAATCATAGGAGCTTCCTGAGCTGACGAGATTCTGGGATTCTCCTCATGGATGTGTCGCCACATTGGAGACAGGAACAAGCACTATTCAGCCAAAGTTTCATAATCAGGGAACATTTTCTAAGTGACAAGTCTCTGAGAGACAGGGTTTGGAAAACACTCGCTTCAGTGGGAGGAACCTTCCCGCATGCGCTCTGGTTCTGCAACGCGCTCCAAGCCAATCTCCACAACTTCAGCTCGCTGTGCACATACGCGCTGGCAGCGAGCTGCGCTGAGCAGCTCAGATGTTCAGATGGGAATCTTTCTTGGGTGATTTAGCTACATCTGCGATGTGTGTAATGAATAAAATGTCAGTTCGTCTGCATGCGTCGGGGTAATTCTTTCTATTCTGTCTCCGTCAAAATAAACCGTCAAATACGGGAACTATCTGGTCAACACAAGCCCTGCTTTTAACTGTTTTGTTTTCTTGTGAAAATTGTTGGAAAGAGATAAAAATTAACTTCATTACCACCAGAGCCAGTGCGCTGTTATCTCCGTGACAGTAAATGAGGGAAAAACAAATTGATCGGATCCTGCACGTCTTTTAACACATTGGTCAGGATTGACGCACTTTTCATTTAGTTGGTTAAAAAAAAAGTCGGGCTCAGGCTTGGGCCGGGCCAGAGAATCCTGAAAACCTTTTCGGGCCGGGTCGGGCTGGGGCTCCACCCCCTCGGGCCGGGCCGGACACGGGCTCAGATTTTAGGCCTGTGCAGGGCTCTACGGTACAGGATCTTTTCGGGTGCATGATCGGCTCGGGGTCCTTCGACTGCCGATGACGTCAGAGTAGTTGATTGGCTGAACATGGACCTTACGAAATTACGTAATCACGTTACGTTGGTCCAGGCAAATCTTTCTGTTGGAAAGATGGACAACTTTTACAAAGAAATCCATCATTACCTCTTTGAAAATACACTTTTAGCATAGAGCTGCATGTATATTAGGGCTGAACGATTAACTGCATGTGCAATTAAATTGCGATGTGACAAAAGGAGATTTTCTAATCGCAAAGGCTGCAATTTGGCAGCGAGTGGTTAGCGCAATGCTAATATACGTGGAAAAACCCATAGGAATGCTAATGCTAATATCACCGATTACATTCTTACAAATTATGAATTAGGAACGTGCCAAATGATTACATTTGGAGTCTAATAGAAAGTAAAACTACCATCAATCAAATAAGTACAGACAGGTATTTTAGTAAAGCCAGAAAACTTTTAACTCCAGAGTTTTGGCTAGCAGCTATGAGCCTAACTGAACTACACATGGACTAGACGTCAAAAACTCTAAACACAAAATACTTCAATAAACGGGACACACTTCTTTCCTGCAAATACAATTTCAAAGGTGTTGCTAATACCTATGATCCTTCAAGGGACGTGCTCAAAGAGGAGTTCAACATAATGAATACAATATAGTGTTTTATTTTACAAATACCATTATAAACACAAACTTACGTCGTAAGAAACATTATTTTGATAACGAAACTGCTAAATTCTTTCCAACAGTATAGCTGTGTAGTGTATTTTGTCTGAGTGGGTTTGCCGTACTTTGACGTCATCTGCAGTCGAAGGACCCCGAGCCGATCTTGCACCGGAGCAGATCCTGTACCGACACTGGCTTCATGGACACATTGTCTCAAAAACATGCTGCTCCTCTATGTTTTCAGGCGGATTTCCGTCCTGATATCTGAGTTTACCTTCATAAGTTTACCTAACATTAGGCATCATATAATTTAGTCAAAAGCACATTGAAATGTTTTTAACTTTAAATAAGTGGATGCATAATGCCTTTATTTTATATTTGAAATGTAAGATATTAGGACAATTACAGATTTTTTCTGTATGCTTTAGTCTAGATGAGGTTCAGATTAGCAGTAATCTGAAATGAATTTCTCCAAATAGCAGGCCAAACTTTAGCTTATCTGTCGAGCAGAAAGTTGCCAACAGAGCCATCTGTGGGGAGCCCAACTTTTGCTTTGCGCATGTGCAGGAAGTGAAAACGGGCACGTACAACGACGGCCTTGTGTGAATGGTTCACCAGAATGACTGACAGTTATGCAGACCGGTGGTTCAGATGATCCACCCGGAAGACAAAGGTCCTCTGCTATACCTTTAAGGATTCCTGTTTTACTCCTTACAGGCTCTTAAAGGGACTTTACGGAGTTTTGAATTTTTATGCTCGCGATTGCCCCCTCAGGCCAAAAGTGTAACGGCAGCTTCAATAGGAGGCTCGTGCACGAGGCACGCATGCTGTACGTGCACACTCCTTAACGAAAATAACAGCTGAGACAGTCCCTTGTGTGTGTGTGTGTGTGTGTGTGTGTGTGTGTGTGTGTGTGTGTGTGTGTGTGTGTGTGTGTGTGTGTGTGTGTGTGTGTGTGTGTGTGTGTGTGTGTGTGTGTGTGTGTGTGTGTGTGTGTGTGTGTGTGTGTGTGTGTGTGTGTGGGTGGGTGGGTGGGTGGGTGGGTGGGTGGGGGTGGGTGGGTGGGTGGGTGGGTGGGGGTGGGTGGGTGTGTGGGTGGGTGGGTGTGGCCCGGAGGACAGAGGACAGGAGAACGTGCAGCTAATTAATTAAATAATTTGGTTCTGTACCTTTCTCTTCAGCACAGCCGACAAAGGTTTATGATGGGTCAGTCCTCTTGCATGCTCAGATCATTCCCTTTCCTTGCTTGAAAAATTGTTCCAAAATGAAAGTTGAACCCACATCTTTTTTATCTGTGAATTCAATGCCGTTTGGCGAGTCTCAAATACAAATTTGGGCATCTTACTGTTAAAAAATATACCATTAATGTAAAAAAGAAACTCTAAATGACAAATTATGTTTGCATCCAGAATCAAACCCAGGACTTCTGCACAAAAGCCCAAACCTTACTTGGCGAGCTAAAGCGCCAGTGGAGTCTTCTGTATCTGTAACATTTATATCCTTGATGACAGCTGACACAAAGTTCAAAGAACGGTTTGGAGGGCTATGCCTGAGCGTGAACACGCATGAAGCAGCCTGCTCGACCCGAGCAACTCTCTTTTCTGTGATTTTACAGAAAAACAGGCAATCGCAGTAAAAATGCCAGGGCTCATTCTACAGGACCAGGGCATTGCAGGAGAATGTATGAAGAAGACATTTATTATTTCTACTCATGTTTTGGCTGTCAAACTTCCATAATGCTCCTTTAACTTTATTTTAGTCTTCTTGAAAAAGTGTTTTGATATTTAGAGCATCTTGTTTCCAGGCTGCAGTGTAGAAGAAGCTCTGGAAGCTGCCTCTCTTCATCCTGCTCAGCTTCTCAGCATCAGTCACAAGAAAGGGAATCTGGACTACGGCTCAGATGCAGGTCGGTTATTTCACCTCTGACCTCTGACTCACCGTCTCAGACCCATCAACAGGAATTCATGTTCAGCCCGCTGCAATAATTAGATTAACTTCAATTTACATTGTACAAGTTACCAAACGTTTGTCAACAGAGTCCGGTGGATTTTGTGGATCTATAAAACAGATGATTGTGAAATTTGCAAACAGCTGGTTTAAAGCACAGCAACATTCAGACTCGTGTCCATCTGAGTCCATCATGTCTCACAGGTTTTCTTACATCTTTCACAGATCTTGTGCTGCTTGATGACAACCTGATTGTAAGAGCAACCTACATCTCTGGAGAGGAGGTTTGGAGGAAAGGTTCATAGAAGAAGAAGCCTGGCGACGGAGACTCTGTGCCTTGATTAATTCAGATCTACGTGTGTTTAATACACTCAGATTTATTTTATCAATGTGTTTTTGGTATTAAATTACTTCAGTCCTGCTGAGCTTTGAGATTATTTGACTGTTGGGCATCGGAACATCTTTCTTAGCTTTTTTTTTTTTTTACCTCCTGTTGATGGAGTCAGTTCAGTTAAATCAGTTGTACATCACCTGATCAGGAAGCTCTTTGTTTCTGCTGCAAGGTGAAAGAAAACAAGACGATTAATCAACAACAGGACTGAAACTGGCTCCCAGGCCTGAAGCGACAGAAACGGATCACAGCAGGTCTGCAAGGATTTAGGAGAAACATCACACCAGTGGGTTTTCACAAACACACAAGAGGAAGCCTGTCACACGCTGAAGCACAATGCTCCTAAATAAGAGTTCAGATGAGTGATGAAAGAGCCACAGGCAGGAGGAGAGGGGCATTGAGGGCCCCGGACGAGGCACAGAGGGCGGTCAGACACAAATGTCTGAGCCTAAACATGACCACAAACACAATTTATAAAAAGATACTAAATAAACACATGGAGTCACAAACTAAAGATGACAGAAAAACAGATGTGACGAAACCTAAAAACATCAAAACGTGTTGAGAGAATTCAGACGGCATGAAAAGCAAAAAACCAACCAGAGAAGTCAAAGAATCCCTGCAGGACAGAAAAGAGACGGAGACAACTGGCGATGAGACAGGAAGGCTTTTTTAAGATGAAAGAAATATACAGGAGGCAAAAAGAAGCAACACAAACCACCTGAGAAGGATGACCTATTGTTTCATTAGTTTTCTTGATCAGCAGGTTACTCAGTTCTGTTTCTAAAAAAAAGAAAAAACAAAATAAACATTTTGAAAGATGTTTTTAATCTTTAATTTCTAATAAATCTGTTAAATAGTTCATCATTACATGACTCTTGTCCAGTGCTGGACTGACCATAGGGCATAGCGGGCAACTGCCCGCTGGGCCGACCCTTTCATCTTTTATGGGCCGGTGTCTGTTTTTTTTTTCTTTTTTTCCTGGCCTCTAGTTGTTGCGGACAACTTGCCCGCGCCGCCCCACGCGACGCCTCGTAAAAGTTGGTGGATTGGCCAATTGGTAATAATACACTCTGGGCTGGACCAATAGCCAGAGGTCTGATGCACCCGCCAGTTGTTTGTGAATCTCAGTAAACAGACAGACGAGCTTAACAAAATGGAGAACAAAAAACGGAAAGGAGGAGCGGAGAAAATTCGACTAAAAAAGAAACTGGCCCTTCAGGCTGATGCTGGCACATGTGTTAAAATCTCACAGTTGTTTGGTAGTGAAGGTTCAAGTAAAATCAATTTAGGAAGTGATGGAGCCTCAGCCCAGCGACAGGTTGGAGAAGAAAAGAGGGAGGAGGAGGAGAAACCCGAGCCGGTGTTGTGCCATAAATTGACTCGCTGCCAAAAAATGATTAGCCACCGCGGGATCGCGCACGGTTAGGTAATTGCATTTCTAGACAAAATTCCCCAGGATTTCGCCCTAAAACTCAGCATATCTAGCAATATGGACATTCAGAAAGCAAAGATAACCTCTTCCGGTACTTAAACAGATGTTTATCGCGGATATTAGTGTGGCAGTGTTTGTGGCAGCCTGCGCGGGAGCACGAGGACGTGCTTGTGGAAAGAGGGAGGAAGATGTGGCAGTGTGGGCATCCACAATATCCCGATTGATGATGAGCCCTGGCTACTTGGCCAAACAGATGTTCCTTTGGCTGACTGGTTAGAGCGTATGACTCTCACCCGGGAGTCTCGGGATCGAATCCCGCCTGGGCCCTTGTTTCTGCACCTTGCCACATTAGTTTTTCCAGTTCGGAAGTTGTTTTAAGTGTTGCTATTTATCTTAAACGTTCACAATGAGGATGTATTAATCCTTTTTGCAATATTTGCGATTGAAAGATGGTTTGTGCCACAAACTTTGTGGTAAGAACTGGCTTTCTTTATGTTACAGCCTTGATACTAAAAAAATAAATAAACAATGTAAAATGGCACCCTGTATTGAATGTAAACGTTGTATAAATGGAAATAAACAATTCTCCAGCGATTTAATTTTTTCCCCTTCCTTTCTTTAGTCCACTTGACATGGAGCCACAGTTAAATAGTTTGGGGCACATTTTTACTTGAAAAAAAGTATTTAAAATGATCAAGCTTTGGCTTTACAATGACACTGTGTAGGTTGCTATTCATTACGTTGCTCTATTTAAAAGTAACAAGATAAAAGCACTTCAGCACATAAAATTAAGATTGTCACTTGCCAAATAGACTACACCCTCCCGTTTACCTATAAGAAATGCCTCAAAATATCTTTAAATTCTTTATTGATGATTTAATTGTAGACAAATAAAATGGCATTTTACTTGCCAAAAAGTGATTGAATCACTAAGATTTTCATGGAGGCTAAAATTGACCAAATAAGGGTTTTATGTATTATCTGTTGATGTTACTGTACTCATACTGTCTACTGTATCATCAAAAACACCCCAAAAATGGCAAAAAAAAAAAAAAAAAAAAAGAAAAGAAGATAATTTCCCTTGCCAAAAATTGATTACAGTGTCCTGGTCACCTGTAAAGGGTTACATTTACCTAAATATTACTTTATTTATTATTTCTTGATGTTATTGGTGCCATCACAGGATGCCGGGTGTCTTTCACATTCATAAACACCTCAAAAATGGCAACAAATGATCATTTCCCTTGCCAAAAATTGATTACAGTGTCCTGGTCACCTGTAAAGGGTTAAATTGACCTAAATATTACCTTATTTATTATCTCTTGATGTTATTAGTGCCATCACAGGATGCTGGGTGTCTTCCACATTCATAAACACAGAGTCCTGGTCACCCATAAAGGCTTAAATTGGCATAAATATTACTTCATTTATTATGATGCTGGGTGTGTTCCACAATCATATTCGAATAAACGTGAAAATATTCTGTCCGAATATCTGTTTCTTGTTATAAATATAACAGCTAGAAGGATTTACAGTTAAAATAGGAGAAACACGTGACTCCCCAGGAAGGGTCGTAACACCACTTGCCTCATGCATAAGTGAACAAAACAAAGCAGCATGGAGACACTCCGTCTCCAACCACCTCTCAGGCAGCAGCCTGCACTCCCAAGTTCTACACGTCACCAGAACATAAACAACCGCAACACAATAAAAGCAGTGTTATACAAAATGGAAGGCCTGTAGTGTTTATTCTCTTACAGTAACGACTTATCAATTTTTTGGAGGAATTTATTTGAGAATTTTTTGGTTTTTATTAATTGTGCAATAGAAAAGTAATCGCTAGATTAATCATCTAAATAGTCATTAGAATAGTCGACTATTCGATAAAATAATCGTCAGAATAATCATTTTAAAAATAATCAGTTACCCCCAACCCTACTTTTTAGAATACCAGGATAGGAAGGATGGTGTAGGTTTACGTTTATTAGATTGATACATAAATACTACCAATAAGAAAGTGTACGTTGGTGTGTGTCAGAAACAGCGTAAGGCTTAATGTCTTTTCCAAAAAAAAAACAGGTGATGGGCCGGTCTCCAGTCAAAATGCCCGGGCTGAATTTTTGTCCCAGTCCAGCCCTGCTCTTGTCCTGAAAATGTGCCCCAGGAGAACGTGTCCACGGGATGGAAATCATCCTAAATTAGAGTTGGTAAAAGGAATCCCTTCAAAATAAGACATTTTAAACAAAACTCATGATCCTTTCCTCGATTCTTTTGTCTTCAGTGAGCCAGACATCTTCGCGGTATCAGCTATTTCAAACGAGTTTCTTTTCTAAAAGAAAAAAAAAATACTTGAAGAGAAACGTTTTACCAGTCAGACGTTTAGGAAGTGTTAATTTTGGGTTTGCTGATTGGAAGTAAAATAGGAAGAAATACGGTCTGAATCTGAGTTTTACAATTATGTTAAGAAATTCAGAAAATGCTGATGAAATACTTTTAGTCGTTTTTTGCACGAACCCGGTGTCCTTTTTATTTTCAAGAGAGGAGAGGAAGAGAGACTTATTTTTCTTGTCGGGTTTGTTTTTTATTTTGAATTTCCTGACAGGAAGTTGGGCTGCTTCCGAGTAGTTTGACGCCAGTGGCGGTGCTGCTTGCTGCTCACCGACCAGAGGACGCATGGAGACCTCCGGCAGAGGACACCGAAGTCTCCCTGTCTCCTCCGCGCGTGCCGTCCTGCCTGGGGCCAGGTGAGACCAGGTGAGTCCTCTTCTGCTGCAGCTTTGCGTGACGTCATGTCCTCGTGCCGCAGCCTGCGGCTGTTACCGCAGGTGCGTCTGAAGTTCAGCATCAGCAGCATCTGCAGTGAAGCGCAGGGGAACTCGCGCACATCTGATTTTATTTCAGTTTTCTGTCGGATTTATTTTTGCTTTAATTCTTTAACAAACGCAACCCCGTCATTGTTCTGTCTGCTGGAAACGATCCGAGACGGGGTGGGGGGTGGGGGGGGGGGACGCTCTGGTGGACAGCTTGTGTCCTGCAGTCATCTGGAGCTCCTGTGTGTCTGACGGACTTTGAGTCATGTTCAAGGACAAAGTGACGAAGAGGAAGGTGAAGCCAGCAGGCAGCATCCCACATGAAATCCTTCACTGAGGTTTTTATGGTCCGGTGCTTCCCGAGATGGTTCTGTTATTCAGCTGGTTTTTGTCAAGAGTTGAAACCAAACAGCAAAGTTAGGACATCTGTGCTGCTGCTCAGAGGGTTATCAGCACAGTTCTGCAGCGACTGAAACCAGAGTTCTGGGACCGAGCAGAAGTCTGTGTGGATCAGGATCCCTGGCTGAAGCAGCGAGTCCAGATGTGCAGCACTTTCCTTTTATTCGCAAAATGTGTCAGTGATGCTGTTATGAGCTCTATTAGAGATAAACTTCCTGCTGCTCATCAGAGCGTTAAACATTTATGCTCTCAAACCAGCATGCAGGACTTTATGTATTTAGCAGACACTTTTGTCCAAAGTGACTTACAGGTGATGATCAAGCCAGCAGGTTGCCCTTGAGGCTAACAATGGTCAAGATGGCAGTGAGGCAGCATAATCAATCATAGAGGGAAGTGAACGTGGAGTGTGCAGTAGGGATGCATCGATCAGGTTTTTTGTTGCCGATCACCGATACCGATATCAAAGAACGATGATCACCGATATCGATCACGTGGATTGGCCAGAAATTTTCTACAACATTATAATAAGTGCTACAAACTACATAATCTGGGAATAAAGGAAATGTAACCTAATCTAAAATGGTCTGTATTAGGGTTGTCACGGTGTGAAAATTTAACCTCACGGTTATTGTGACCAAAATTACCACGGTTTTCGGTATTATCGCTGTATTTTTTTTAAACGTGCTACATTTTCACACAACTAAATAAATGTCAGGAAATATTGTCCTCAGTTTGTGTCTAAATTTTGCCTAAAATGTGTTATTTTGTAATTATGTTGTTTATTTGTTTACATTTTTCCCCTTTAGTCTTTAAAATACCAATATTTGCCCATAACTTCTTATTTTATGTCTGTTTGATGTCATCATTTAAAAATATTAGACCAGATGATACTCAGTGCTCAAGTAGCCTTCTAATCAGATACTTTTTTACCCTTACTTGAGTAATAAACCCTATATCAGGAAAATATTGTCCTCGGTTTGTGTCCTTCCAGTGAGCTTTGTAGATGTGGGAAAATGTCATCAGGCAGTAATCATTGTTAAATTCAAAATTATTCTCGGAGAGAGACCAACTCTTATCTGCCCCTGGGAGCCCCGTAATGCATAGCGTCATTTCAACATGGGGGTGTCCGCGACACGGTTTATATGCAGGTAGCGGCGCTGCGGCTGCTTTATATAGCGACTCGTTGCATTCTCCCTCAACCCAAATCCTTGGATCACGCATTTTAGCTAAAACGCTAACGTTAGCTTGCCTTGCGTTGACTGTAGAGTTGTGGGTGATGGTCACGCAGAAGTGTCATGAGATTTGAAGCGTTGCTGCCTTTCACAGACACTTTTTCTGCACGTGCTGCAAACAGGATAGCCGTCTTCTATAAACTGTCCCTCGGCATTCTTCAAATATCCAAAAGATGCCCGTACTTCCCACTTTGTCTTCTTTGAGGGATTATAAATGTCCTCCTGAGCACTGCCGTCTCCTCCTTTGGCCATTATTTCAGCTTTAGCTTCAAGAAAGTTTTGGTTGTAAACAACAAAGTGCGCATGTGCCGCCGGCAACTTCAGCAGACGATACGGTGGCTGGTAAGGGTCACCGCGCCTACACCGCAGCCACGGTAATCCACTGAGATAATATAGTTTTTTTTAAACAAGACGGTTATTATTATTGTCAACTTTTCTTTACCGGGGTTTACCGCTACACCGGTTACCGTGACATCCCTACCTGATCGGTCTGCTTTGATCTATTTTGAAAACTCCGATCAAAACCGATAGGGGCGCTATCGGCCGATTGGGATCAAATGCCGATCCATCGGTGCATCCCTAGTGTGCAGTAGAGTGGGGGACGGGTGCTGGGAAGGTCCTGGTTTAGAAGATGCTCTCTGAAGAGCTGGGTCTTCAGGAGTTTCTTGAAAATCGACAAGGAAGTCCCTGTTCTAGCAGGGCTTGGTAGGTCCTTCCACATCTGTGGAACGACACATGAAAAGAGTCTGGATTTTCTTTAGCATGATGTGGGCACTGCTAGCCGACAATCCTTCGATGACCAGAGCGGCCGAGAGGATTTAGGTAGAGCTGTAACTTTATTAGGAGGCACCAGAAATTGGAAGGGCTCGAACTGACCGGACTATCTGAAACGCAAAAGACTGATTGTTGTTCAGCTTGTGAATGCACCATCACTAAATGTTCATGCCTGCTGGCAATAATGGTTTAAACTTACAGAATCAGAATTCTCCTGATAATTAGATTTTAAGTATTTTTGAAGTCCTCAGAATCAGAGCTGTAGCGTCGAAAACTTGTGTCAACCATCAAAAACAGAACTGGTGTCTCTGGACTTTATAGAACCATAAAAGTTTAGAAATTCCCTGGGAAAATATCTAGAATTGAGCATTTTCTCAGTTGATGAGGACCCAAGGCTGAAAAGAAACTCGGTCAGACTCTGAATCCTCCTGAAGATCCCTGATGAGCCTGAATGTGTGCACAGATGCCTCACACGGTTCATCCAGGAGGAGCTTTTCCCCAAAATGAATCCAACCAAAGCTGTTCCTGAACAGCCCTGATGAGAAGCTTGGGCCAGACGGAGATGTTTCAGTTCTTTCTTTTCTAAAACCTCTTTGAGGACGTTGTGCTTCTCGATAGACACCATGCACGGCCAATTATCACTAAACACCAGTATTCATTCTTTCCCCTCTTCAGCTGAGCCCACAGCATCATGGGAGGTTCCTCCTCCTCGTCCTCGCTGGTTGATGATGCCGAGGGCGATGCTGCACCTCGGGGAGCAGCTCTGCCTCCCTCCCCCATCATGGGATGTCTGAGGAGCAGCCAGAGCAGCTTCATCCCACGGCAGCGCCCCAGGACCGGTCGACACCGAGAGCGCAGGTGAAAAACAGCCACAGGACAGGAAAACACCCAAACTGGAAAGAATCAAACACAAAATCAGAGAGCAGAACCACTCCTAGAACAAAGAGGAAACGATCAGAACTGTAAATATGACAAACAAGCTCTTAGCGCAGAAACCAGTACTCTAAATGTGATCCAAAAACATCAAAGATGGGTCTTTTTAAAATAACCAGCGTCACTAGTTATCATGATTCAATAAACAAAAAGGCTATTAAAGTTGCACTTTTTCCACAATTATGTGCACATCCTGGACTCATTATCGTACATTTTTTATGAACTGTGAGATCAACCAAACCAGAGCCTCCCTTATGAATTATTACTGCATCTCTGCTTCATACACAGAGCATTTTCATCCCAGTGTCATCTCAGTCTCCCGCACGCTCAGCTGGGAGTCGAGTTACGCGCTGACTGGAAATCTAACGAAGCAGGGGAAAACCTTGGTGATTGAACTAGTTTGGAAATGTGAGCTTCCTGTTGGGAATTTACATCTGAAGGCTCAGAGATCAAAATACAACATCTCACATGAATTGTGAAACTGAATAAATATGCGGAGCATAAAGTAAGAGGCAAAGGAAGAAAGTTTGAAATCTTCTACAAGAGGAGCTTTTTGAAGGTTTGCTACATGTGCATCGTTGTAAAACTCACTCAAGTCTTCGCATTATTTGTCAAGTGTTGAGGGTCTGACCTCATGAGGAAATTACTATGCAGTGATTTTCTCCAAAATGACTGTGCTTAAATTGCTCTGAAAAGCAAATAATCACATCAGCGCCAAGAAACTTCATTTCCCATGATGCTTTGCACACGGAAGCATTGTGATGACGTCACCGCCTAGTACCAGAAACACGTTCTGCGCATGTGCGGGAAGCCGTGGAGCTTTTCCCGCGAACTAAGACCATAAATCTTCAGCAGAGACAAAGAATCCTCGTTCTTTTGCCCAGGATACCTGGCGGTAAGGACACGCTTATCGACGCTCCGACTCCCTTGAGCACGCGGAAGCTCTAAGTGCACAAGTGGAGCCCACGGAACTGCTGGAAACTAAACTGCAAGCCCATCAGATCTGCTCGTTTCTGCTCCCCTCCAGCTGATGTTTGAGGACACAGAACTGCGGAGGAAAGCAACAACTCCATCAAGCACGCTGTAAGTTATAACTCAGCACAGAAAGAAACTTCGCTGTCTCTGTCCAGCCCGTGGAGAAACACTCGTGAACGCCAAACAACGGAGAAAGCATCAAACCGACGGACGACGCCGAAAACTGCGGAGAAAACGGAGAACCGTCAAATCATAACAGCGGGGACGCCTTGCTGCTTTGGTGATCAGAAAACTCATTTTTTTCTCTCTCCTTTTCTTCTCCCGTTTCCTCTATAGTCCAGAATAAGCAATAAAACCGCGCTATTGCTTAAAAAAGTAGCTTCGTGTTTTCCTCTTTCGCTCCCAATTCGTCCTTCGGGTCATTTTGAAAGAATAAACTGCTTATTGATCATTGTTTGGTATCTTAAAATGGTTTCTGTCATGGCCAGGCTGAAACTAAAAGATATTAATTTGTGATTAATCTTTTGTGTTGTTTCATGATCTTTTGAAATGTTTTGAGTGATTTAAGGTTAAGTTACTACTGATTCTAAGTGCTTTGGAAGTTAAAGTGCAAGTTGCCACCCACACTTTAGCCAGACAAAGGGGTCAGCCATCTTGTATTCAAGACTCCATTTTGAATCCATACACACACACACACACACACACACACACTACTCCTTTGTGAGAACAAAGGACCCCATTCATACATCCTCCATCACATGCAAACACATCCATCTTCAATCATATCACACGGTTATTATTAATCTATTCCACTGTTTATTCATTTGACAAATTGTTAATTAAATGTTATAAAATTCAGATTTTTGTGTCCAGTAGCTTTGTTGTGTCGAAGAGAAGTCTCTGCTCCAAGGATTCTACGAACTTCAAGAAAGACTGATAAGAGTTTTGGATTCAATTTTTCCCCGGAAAAAGGGGAATGGTGCCCCGTATATCTAAGAATATCTTAATTAATTAATAAATCAGTAAATATTCCCATATTTACAGAATTTATTGAAGAATCCAAAAGTAAGTTGAAGCTTACTAATTGTTCGCTCCTAATAACCCCAACACAAGAGATGGACAAACATCACAAACAAACCTCAGAATGATCCACAAATGACACTTCTTAAATCACAGCCAAATTCTAAAATTACTTACAGATGGCTGCAAATTTACCTCCGCTTATCCGTGCTCAGGTCACGAGGCAGTAGCCTAAGCAGAGAGGCCCAGACTTCCCTCTCCCGGCCACTTGGCTCCTACGGATGAATCCCAAGGCATTCCCTGGGTAGCCGAGAGACATAGACCCTCCAGCGTGTCCTGGGTCTTCCTTTAGGTCTTCTTCGAGTTGGACGTGCCCGGAAAACCTCACCAGGAAGGCATCCAGGAGGCATCCTAATGAGATGCCTGAGACACTGGTTCCTCTCAATGTGGAGGAACAGCAGGTCTACTCCGAGCCCCTCCCATGTGACCGAGCTTCTCAACCCATCTCTAAGGGAAAGCCCAGCCACCCTGTGGAGAAAACTCATTTCAGCCGCTTGTGTCCGTGACCTCATTCTTTTGGTCACCACCCAAAGCTCGTGACCATAAGTGAGGGTAGGAACGTAGATCAACCAGTAAATCGAGAGCTTCATCTTTCGGCTCAGCTCTCCACCACGACGGACCGGTATGGCGCCCCATCACTGCAGATGCAGCACCAATTTGTCTATCGATCTTGCACTCCGTCTTCCCCTCACTTGTGAACAAGACCTCAAGATACTTAAAGAGCAAGTCACCCCCTAGCAGAGTATTACTCCGCTCCTACTTCCTGTTTGAAAAATGCAACAGATGCTGTTGCCTAGCAGACCGAGAGGGCGGAGCCGCTAACAAACACACACACACACAGGCTCACAACGACATTGTGACATCATATGGTACCAGCTAACATTCTAGGGTACCTTTTAGCCAATAGCCATGGCAGATTTAAATTCAAATGCATTGCAGAGTTTTTACCTGACAACGGCACAACACTGACAGTTTTAGGCAGAAAATTAAAATTTTAACTAAAATGCACTAAAGTGCAGAACTATTGACGATGCGTGTCTGCAGCATGATTACACACACATTTATACAGTTTATCAGAAAAAAAATTTGATTTGGGGGTGACTTGCTCTTTTAACTCCTACTTGAACAAGGACCTCATCCCTGACCTGGAGAAGGTATTCTACTGTTTTCAGACTCAAGACTTAGGAGTTGATTCTCATTCAACCTGCTTCACACTGCAAAATGCAGAGACCTGATCCTTATGCCACCAAAACGGAACCCCTTATCACCTTGGCTGCACTCACACATCCTGTCCATTAACGTTAAGAACAGAATCAGTGGCCCCAATAGGCACCTCTGTTGTCAAACTGCCACCCAGGGCATGGAGACCCCAGCCCATCCTGCCAGGGCCCAAAGCAGCAGTATTACAGAGCCTCACGGAGTCCGAGGGCACCAACCCAGCCCCATCCCAGCAGAATATCTATGCCCACCCCTGCATTTGCACAACTTCCAGAATATATAAGACATGGGACATCCAGGTAAGGTTTGGTCCTCCCCGTCCTGGACCTCCCCCTCCCCTGTGATGGAACGGCAGAGGAGCCAAGGTCTACCTGATGCCCCCGAACCCGGGCCAGGCACTGCTGCGTGTTCCTGCCTTGTTCCCGGCAGCATACATGTCAGGACCCGACCCCCAAGGCCCCGCCCAGATCCCCACACGGGGCCGGCCACCCCCAAACCCCGAGCCCCCAGGCCCCCACCCAGACCCGCCCAGGGGTATTGCAGCCGCCAGGCAGTGACCCATGGCCGCCGCCAAGATCCCCAAGGGGCCCCACTCACAACTGCCAGCAGTCCACCCCCCGAGGCAACCCAAGCACCTCCAGAGGGGGGCAATAGCCCCCCAGTCCCAGACACCCCCAGTGAACCCACCTCCAGGGAACATCCGGATACTCCAAACTCAGACCCCACACCCCCCCACCCACACCATCCCGCAGGACAACATCAATGGCCCCCACCCTCGCTATGTGATGGAACCGATCAAAGGAGCCCAGAGAGATTCATCTGAAGTGGAAGCAGAGGCTATATCAAGTGCAATATGATCTAACAAAAGATTTCTATACTGGTTAATGCAGAGAGTTTCTCTATTTTTCCAATTCAAGAGGATAGTTTTCTTAGCGATGCACATGGCAGTCAGAACCACGTGAACCAAAGATGTTTCAATCGGGACATCGTGCAGCTGTCCCAGTAAACAAAGAGAGGGGGAAGTTGGGATATGACATTTCAGACATTTTGACAGATCCTCACATACTCTACCCCAAAATTCCTGGACAGGTGGGCAGGACCACAGTGCATGAATGTGATTGTCAGGAATGTTGTTTGTGCAGTGTGTACAGGTGTCAGACGACACAAACCCCATCTTGAACATCCGATGACCTGTATAGTGTACTCTGTGTAGAATTTTGTACTGAATTAATTGTAAATTGGGGTGTCTGATCATTTTAAAAGTTTTTAAACAAGTTTGGGACCAGAAGCCCTGGTCAAAGCTGACTGATAGATCCACCTCCCATTTTTCAATAGGAATTGCAATTTTATCGTCTATTTTGGACAGTGTCTTATATACTTTAGACAGTAGTTTGGGGGGTTTGAGATTATAAAAGTCTAATACCCTTGGTGGCGTTTGTAATTCTATTTTATTGAGCTTAAATTTTTGTTTGACTACAGATTTAATTTGGTGATATTCTAAAAAGCTATTCTTATCCATTCCAAATTGGAAGACTATTTGATTAAATGGGATGAAGTCCAATCCTTCATATATGTGTTCCAGGTATAGGATTCCTTTATTTTTCCAGTCCGGAAGGTTCATCATTTTGTTGTTTTGCAAAATGTCAGGATTG